GATGGCACGAGCCGTGTCGGCAGCGCGGCTCAGGTCGCTACGCAGGCCATCGATCGCATGCCACGTCCGGGAGGCCGTACCTCGAGACGATCGCGTCAAAGGGCTGGGACGCATGCAGCGCGCGTAGATGGTCGCCAAGGGCTAGCGCCTGCGCCTGGCCGACCGCGCTTAGAGGCACGTCCGTCTGTCCTTGCCACCGCCCCTCGGCGTTCCACGCGGTCGCGCCGTGTCGGACCAGCCAGAGCTCCACCATGCTGCGGCGAAACCACTATCCGGATACCATGGCGCCGATCGCCATCAGCAAGTAGTTCATGTAGACGAGCACCCTCCGACGTATGAAGCTCAATAGATCGTGTTGCTCTCCGACGAGGCCTTAGACTACCAGCGCCGACCCGTGCGCCTACAAGCGGGCGATGACAGCGTCCAGCTCGTCGACGGTGCAGACGTGGAAGCCCTGGGCCGCCGTCACGATGGCGAGCTCCACGTTGATGCTCGAGAGCTTCTCCTCCATGTGCTACATACATCGATGAGACATCTAGCCTCGTCGGCGAGAGAGATACCTGTTTCAGGGTGCCGATCGCGAGCTTCTGGGCGTCCGCGAGCGACATGTTTTCGTTGTAGCTTTCCTTGAGGTTGTTCTGCGCGCCCTGCTGCCCCGAGCCAATGGCTTTGGCGTGCACACGGAGGTACGTGCCCGACGGGTCCGAGTAAAAGAGGTGCGGGCCCGACTCGTCGACGCCAGCGATGAGCAGCGCGACGCCGAACGGGCGGCTCATCTTCTGCTTGTGGTTGTTCTCGTCGCTGCCTTCGCCAAAGCTGAGCGCCAAGTCGCACACAGCCTGCGTCAAGGCATTGACGCGAATGCGCTCGTTGTAGCTAAACCAGTGGTTCGTCGCCTCGACGCGGGCGTGGTCAATCAGCGTCCGCGCGTCGGCCGTGAGACCGCTCATGGCCACGCCAATGTGCGAGTCGACCTCCATAATCTTTTCGATGCTGCTGGGCTCGAGCAGCGGCGACGTGATGCGCTTCTCGACCGCCAAGACGACGCCCTCCGTCGTGCGGATGCCCACGGCCGTCGTGCCCATCTACGCATCGGAGCATGCGGCTCGGCCCCACATGTAGAGGATGTACCTTGATGGCCTCGATGGCGTACTCGACTTGGAAGAGGCGGCCTTCAGGGGAGAAGGTGTTGACACCGCGGTCGTAGTCCGTCCTACGCCTCCATGAGCCTCAGCCGCGATGGCCATGCGCCTACTTGGTCTGGAACATCTTGCGGCCGCAATAAGAAAATCGCAAATTGGCCTTGGCTCCCCACATCAAACCCTGCGAGGATTTATATTTCACGAGCCCATCTCCATATGAATAAATCGCGAATATGCGTTTTAACAGGTATCCGTAGAGGTATGCGACGCTGAGTCAACTTTTAGTCTATTCATTGTCCTCGGATATCATCTTCTACAGGATTTTACGGGTACCAGCGCAAGATTGGCGTACTTAAGAAAGCCTTTGGATCTTTTTCGTCTAAGTACGCTTTCGATGGCACCAAGCGTCTGGAGCGAGCGCCCCAGCGTCAATGGCTATGGTACATCTCCTGCAATTCGTGCTGGAGGTAATAGATGACGCATTCGTCCCAGCGAAACTGAAGCGAAGCACGCGAGCACACTACTGCGTTGTCGAGCCCTGTATATAAGAACTCGCAACATATCGGATGTAAGAGGTAAATTAGAACCGAAAGACCAGAGGTTGCATGGCTGCTAGGTGCGAAATCCATTTTAAAAGGTTTAAATCAATGGTCGCACTTACCAGATACCCATATCTAGTAGTTGGTGCAACTGGCGCCATGCGCTCGGACCCGCTGCAGGTCGGTGGCTCCTCCAGGATCGCGTGGGCTCATGCGCTGCGTAGGCGCACCTCAAGAGGCTCATCAAGGACGACCGCGATGTGTCGCAGCTCCGGGCCGAGTCGTCGGCGCTCCTCTGTACGTGCACCGCCGCCTCGCCTCGTCGTCTCATGCTGCGCAGGCGACGTCACGCGCGCCTTCGTGCTCGAGCTGGCCGAGCGCTTGGTCCGCGAGCTCCGCGCCAGCGGCAACCTGTCGCCCGACGCCTTGTACGCTACAACCTCGTCGCTCGATGGCTCATGCCCACGTGTAGCAAGGCGATGCTGCTGGCCGAGCCCGCGTTCGCGCCCCTCCACGGCTTTATTCAAGACATGACCGTACTCGAAACCAAGGCCATGCTGCGGAAGCGCAAGAAGGCGGCGCCAACCGCTGCCGCCAGCGACAAGCGCGCCAAGCTAGCAGCTCCTGCGCCCGAGCCCGAGCCCGTCGTGGATGCGCCCGTAGCGATTGCAGAGGACGACGACTACGACGCAAGCGACTGAGCGCCGACCGACCCTATCCCTTCGTCGACTCCTAGCATGCTTGAGCCTCATTTTCACGTAAAAATCCATAGTCAACACCAAGCATGCATCCATATCATCGATCAACGCCGTGTAGCTCTATCCATGAAGCCGTTGAAATTGGTATCTACAGTGTGAACGCGCGGGGCGAAGACAAGAGCGCCGAGTACGTCGAGCCGAGGAGGGTATCGCGGGACGGCGACCGCAGGTAGCTCAGCGTTGTCTCAGCCTTCTCTTCCATGGGCGGGAATAGCGCGGCGTGGAGCTTGGTGACGAGCCCGTCGGCGTCGGCTTCCGAGACGACGAAGCTCAGGTTGAGGTCCTCGGCCGACTCGCTCAGCAGCAGCACCTCGTAGCCCGCGAGCAGCTGGAAGACGGGACCGAGCTCGCCGAGCGACGTGCGCAGATGGCGGCCGACGACCGACACGGTCGCACACGGCTCGACGACCGCGACGGCGCCGAGCCGCTCGAGCGCAGCAACCAGTTGCTGGAACGCGGCGCCTCCGACGCCACCAGGAATGTGGTCCAAGGTCACACTCACCGAAAACTAGTCACCATCAGAATATGAAAAGACAGACACTGTATTGTACCTGGGAGGTCGCGATGAGGTCGACCGAGATGCCAAGCGTCTCAAAGGGCAAGAAGACCTTGGAGAGGAATCCGGACGTGCCGCACATATCGTACGCGGTGATCGTCACCAGCGTCATGTTGAGTCGCCGGACCACCGCCATAATCTACCACCCCCGTCTATCAAGTTGATACAAACGAGCATGCGCACCTTGGCGCGCGGATCGTTGTCGCGATGGCCAATCACGGTCTTTTCGCCGTCGGGGTCGTTCGTGTTGCGAATCTCGACGGGCACGTTGGCCCAGTGCGCGGGCCCAATGCAGCGTGGGTGCAGCACCTAGCTCATCATGGCATCAGAGATAGATAGCTCGCGAGAGCAACGGGGGACCTTGGCGCCCATGGCCGCGAGCTCCTGCGCCTCGCGGTAGTCGAGGCTCTTGAGGAGGCGCGCGTGCGGCACGAACCGCGGGTCGCTCGTGTACATGCCGTGCACGTCGGTCCAGATCTCATAGCGCGCCGCTTGGAGGAGCGCCGCGAAGAGCGCGCCCGAAGTGTCGCTGCCGCCGCGGCCCAAGACACACGTCTCGACGCCACTGGCGCTTCGCACGCCGGCGATGAATCCTTGCGTCAAGACGACGGTGGCGGCGCCCGCGATACCGTCCACGGCGCCAGCCTCGGCTGCCCGTGGACGCACGTTGGCTTCGAGGTACTTGTCAATCTCGGTCGCGGCCGCCGGGTCCGACCGCAGCACCTATGGTTACGATCGTCGCCCTTATGCGTCGCATATTGCATCGGCGTACCTGACGCGCATCGACGCGGGCGGTCGAGTGCAGTCCGTTGACGCGCATGATCTCGAGCCCGAGGTGCGTCGAGAGAAGCTCGCCGAACGCGAGGACGCGCGCCTTGAGTCGCGGCGACGCCTCTTCCGTGAGGCGGATGCCATCGAGCACACGGCGCAGTTGCTAGGATGGAGGATGCATGAGATGCTGCCGTCGTCTGGCGTGTGTACATGGAATTCGTGGATCAAGGGCGCGACGACGGGCACATGCGTCGCATGGCCCCACTCGGGCGACTGTTCGGCGGCGATCGCGGCCGCGGCCTCAGCGTCCGAGAGCAGCGTCGTCTCCGCCGCGAGCTTCATGTGCTGCTCAAAGATGCTGTGGTAGCTGCGCAGGTGCTGCGTGCCAAAGACGGCTTCGTCGAGCGCGCTCGTGAGGCGGTTCGTCACTTGGCTCAAGGCGCTGATGACGACCCAGACGCGGCCTTCGTCGCCGGCGAGGATCGTCGCCACGCGCCGGCAGATGCAGCGCCAGCGCGGCGCGGTCGAGACGCTCGTGCCGCCAAACTTGAGCACGACCCACGCCATGTGAAATTCGAATTTGGTCGCGAAATCTTCCGCCATGATCGCACCCACTTATCCGGATGCCACCCATCGGCACCACAAGAATATATCTTGTGGCCAAGTCCACGATGAGCACCGCCGTAGGATGCGGTGTCTGCGTCTACGTACATCGACCGGTCTTCCAAGCACATGCTCCTGGCTACGACGAGAGCACGAAGTGACATCACCGAGCCGCGTTCAGGCCCAGCGTGGGATTGGTAACATGAGCAGTCCTATACTTTAGTCCGTTGCAGATCGTACAGCGCAACACACCACTTTGGCCGCTACAGGCTCCAAGGAACCACACCAATGGCCAAAATTTGATGCAGCGTCGAGGCAACGCCGTCGAAACCCTTGCTTGTGGCATATGCCATCAAAAGCCAACTATAGCAACGCCGTCGCACCTTATTTATAATTTGGGCGCCACGACCTGGCCGCGACGAGAGTTGGGGCGCATTTCATGATTGAAACAAAAGTGCTCATACTTGGCACAGTGCTAGATGACACTTTGGAGAGTACGAAACGCTATGTTTCGTCACCGTTCGAGCTCCGTAGAAAGAGTTATTGACAATATACTAGACACACTATTTGAAATCAGGTCTCCTTGATATAGTGTAAGTGCATAATTAGTGTATTATATAATAATAGGCGCCGTAGCGCGCTCCAGAGCTCCCATCGTCCATGTACCATGCTCTCCGTCACTTTTGAAGAGATATAGCGTCCTCGGATTCGGCGAAAACTCTTCATTTTCACCAAAATTCGTGTGTCAAAGTTGGCAAAAAACGACGCTCGGCAGTACGACGTTGCTGTGAGAGCCCAAGCGCCTACCACGTCCCAAACGCAAGTCGCTGGGCCACTCCATATACATAGCCAACTGTGGCTGCCCGCGTCGGAGTCGGTCGAGTTTTCGAACTGCGCGAAAACACGTTGTGCATTTGGGTGTTTATTTGGCCACCTTAAAAGATCAACGTTGGAATTCGCATGCATGCGCCCCGTTCGGCATATAAACCACCATCTCCATGGTACCAAGATGCTATAGAACGACAGGAACCGGTGTGGTCCCGCGTTAACACGTCTGTGTGGCATCAATCGTGGTTGCGCTGGTGGAGATCACACTATTTAAATATACGAGCCTGATATACTGCTCCATGTAAAAATCGATAAACTGATATATTCCGAGAGTATCAGTCTATCAATTCAGCGATATCGTCGCCAACAGCAATTCGTTCCCAAAAACAGGTAGACAATCCATTGGCTTCAAGCTCTATGACCAGACCGCTGAGCAGACGATGAAGAGCGGGCGAATCCAAGCCTCGTTTGTGGTGCAATTGAACTGTAGCAGGCTTGATACTTCCGGCTAGGTTCAGACGAGTCCGACCTGGCGCGGCCATCCCACACGAAGCCTTTAACACGTCGATGCAGATGTGCAGTGATATTGTATAGAAGGGCCGCTCTGTATTAACGGGCTAGCCACACACCAAGCTGTCGCCGTGGACTACATGAGCAGGTAGGGACGAGGCGACAAGCATGTGTCGACGTACTCTGGAAAAGCGTCGCTTGGTGCGACTTGAAGCTGAGCATGAGGCTCTTGAACTCGTCAAAGTCGGCGCAGCTCATGAGGACGTCGATGACGTCGCCCGTCATTTCGTCTTCGTGTTCTTGGATCATGCTGCAGAGCGCGTCCATGCTAAAGTCGTCGATGGCTTCTTTCAGCCGCGCCTCGAGAAAGTTTTCTGCGCCAGCATGAATGGCCTCGTCGCCCTCGCATCCACGTACCGATCAAGTTGGTGTACTCGCGGAAGAGGTCCATGTAGATGAGCTTGTTCTCGCTCGCGTCGTCAAAGCAGTCTAATACATCGCTTCCATGCAGCGTCGACTCGTCTCCGCGTACCGCAGTGCGTCTCGCAAAAGTCATTTTGCATCTGGACGAAGCTCGGGTCGATAAGCACGTCCTGGATGACGCCCATGGCCTCGTCGAGCTTGTTCTCTTCGTAGCTGCCGCCGAGGTCGGCGCTGATCGTCTCTTCTTCCTCGTCCTCGGCAAAGTCGTGGCCTTGGTTGCCTACGCCATGGCGCTCTCAGGTAGCTCGCATCGCGTCGCCGCCTACTGCTGTAATCGGCCATGCTGCTGCGGCGCTCGGAAACTCAAAGTGACCTTTGAAACCACCGCGACGGATCCCAAACGAGCGCTCGAAAACGCTCGCAATCTTAACTATCGTGTCACGTTGCTTATACTTCCTCCATGGCCCGCGTGCTTGCGATCGCGGCCACGTCGTCTTCGTTGGCATGGTCCATGCCCTGGAGGATGCACAGCGCCTGCTGCAGCGCGCGGAGGCGGTCGATGAGGCCCTTCATGACCACGTTGCGCTCGTGCACTTCTTTCCGCAGCTGGTCGCGGCGCTGCACGAGCGGCGCCAGCTCGTTCTACGCACATGAGCATGTGACGTATGCCATCGTTCGCCATGGACGTACCATGTCGACAGGCGACGGCGTCGCCGCAATGGCCTCCATGAGCTCCATCGAGTGGCGGATGTACGCGGTCTTGAAGGCGCCGATCTTGGTGAACGAGTCCTGGATCTCGTCGCCGTGCAGCGCCATGTCCCGGGCGTCGGCGTCGGGCTCGGTGGTCGCGGCCACGGTCGCCGCCGGCGCGTCGGCGTCGTCGCTCATCTCGGCGAAGTGGAAGAAGTTGGAGTTGGCTTGGGAGCGGCGGCTTCAGGTTGAGGTTGCGCGCTTCGGCAAAGATACCGTACGCGGCCGTGATCATCTCGTGGAGGTGCGCGACCTCGCGGGACACATCCGCCATCGCCGCTGAAATCTCGAGTGTCCGGATACATCATCCGGAAAAGGCTCCTTTGGGATCCAGGATGTGGAGCCAGTGTTTCAAATTCTGTATTAAAACAAATCTGGAACGATCTTGTTGAGGAACCTGGCGTTGATACGTCGATGGTGCACGTAGATGGTTAGTCTGTACTGTTACTACTTCTCTCGACCTCGTCGTGCGATCGGATTGGAGCGTACTCGTGCGATTGTTGTCCGCCACGGAGCTCGAGGTCGCCGTCGCGCTCGGCGGCCGCGAGCTCTTCAATGTACTTGCGCGTCTGGTAGCCGACGAGGCAGAGCAAGGTGAGGCCGCTCGTGGCGCCGATTGCCATCAGCACAAACTTGAAACAGCTGGACTCGTGCTTTCCCGAGAGGAGCGACGAGACCTATGGGCATGCAGGGGTGCCCGTCACGTGTGTTGGTGATCATACCTCGGTGGCCGAGTGGCCGAGGTAGCACGAAATGCCACCAAACGGAGTGCCCAGGATCAGAGTCGACCAGAAAAACATGGGAAATGGCACCTAGCGCAGCCATGAGCGCCAGTACTTCAACGCGTGAGCGCACCGGGAGTACGCTGAGACCGTAGTTTTTGATTGCGATGGGCATCCACGCGACGCGCGCCAAGCACACGATTTTCCATTTCATGTCGGGCCGCGAGAGCAAGAGTCCCTACTCGGCGAGCGTTCGACACAGCATTGTACTCCAAGTGGGCGTACGAGGGCCCGGAACATGGGCGCGCCGGACTCGAGGACGCGCAGAACACGGGCGTGCAGAAAGTAGCGGCCTGCGCAAGTGCTTTCAACCTCGGCGACTGGCGGTTGTTGGCGAGTACCAATGTAGAAGGAGAGGCACGAGCCGGCGGTCTTGCCGACGATCGAGATGGCCCAGCCGCCCCAGAAGCCAAAGACGTAGCCAGCGACGAGCTCAAAGAGCGTCGCGGGCAGGCTAGAGCAAGCATAAGAAGACTGCGTCATGCTATCGCGGCCCACCACAGCACGACGCAGCACGTGTAGAGCAGCGTGTAGAGAAGGCCGCCGGTCGCCGGGTGCGCCTACAGCCGCCGTCAATAGCGTTGCTGAGCGCAGGACGTACGCGCAGCCAGTGGACGCTGTGGTTGAAGGAGGACGAGGACGCCGAGTGCCAGAGGACGCCGACGGCGATCGCAGCGCCGACGAGCACCGCGAGCCCGGCCAGCTTGGACGACGGCATCGGTCGTGAATTGTCGTTTCAAGAGCCGGACGCGCTGATTGGCCACTTTGCAGCATAAATCGGACAGGACCAATCACACGCGCGAGCTGCTGTCTTTTTAGCCAATCCACGAATAGGTACCACGCTGGAACGTTGAACTCGTGCGATCCATGTTGCACCGTGATGGGCATCAAGGTTGCCGAGGCGAAGAGCGCGCGTCAACAGGGCGGCACAGCGCTCCTTAGCGCTTTGTAAAGGATTAAATGATCGAATGCGTGTGGCAGTCGATTCGGTATCTTTCCTGAGAAAGCAACGGGGAAGATCAGGGTGAAGATTCAAGTTCAACTCCTTGATTCACTGTACATCAAAGGCAGTACAATTGTAGCAAGGCCATGTTTATGGCCTTGACAGTCTTGGATGGATAGATGGATAGATGGATGGATACTGTCCAGGAGCAATCCTGTCGGTGCGCTGGTATCCAGTAGGTTCCGTCGATGATTGCTCCGAATTCGCGGCGACCCTTGTTGCCACAGCACGGCCAGGCACACACACGTGATTGGATATAATCTGATTTCGAATGCCCAATCAAGGCCGTTTGCATGTCGCATTTTGACCAATCCACGTCGTCGGAAGTCTGCGGATCGTTGCAGTTTGAAATTTGCGGACCGAATGGCC